AGATTTGACTCAATAGAATGCTCATTCTGCAATGCAAATGAGAATTCTGAGTATATTGTAATGCACTGTGCATTATACAATAGTCTCAGAGCCAGATTGAAAGAGAAGTATGATCTAAATCAATTAAATATAAGATTCTTATTCTCAACTGAGACAGAAATTAAATACTTAATAGACTTTCTATCGGAAACTCAAGCAGCTACAAGAAAATGACTAAATTCAGAAATATCTGAATATGAAGAGAAGGAAATCAATCAGATATAGTCTGTTAAAACAGCTATATACTATCTTTTAATAATTTGTTTTGTTACAGTCTCTCTTTACTTTATCTTTTTCTTTCAATTTCTTTCTATCTATCTATTTAATGTGTCTATCTTTAAGACTGTGTTCTCTTTTCCTTTGTCATGATATTGTCAAATGATTGCAAAGTATCAGAAGATGTTAAAACGCTGTAATTTGTAAACAGTTTTTGTATTCTGAGCTAGAATTTTCTGATTTTGCATATCTGAAATTGATGAATGTATAATAGTTAACTTTACAGATATAGGAAAAACCCTGAGAACTTTTAGTTCTCAGATAGATGTCATAGTCTCTGACTGCATACATCTATAATTGAAGAATAATAATAATAATAACTCTTAACTTAAGTGTAAGATCATGAATGAAGATCTGTAAATAGAAAGATATTAAAAGCTCTTCATTTAATATGAGATAGTGTAAACTGAAGTGAATGAAGTATAATATAAGATCACTCACTTATTTACACTCAGTAAAGTATTTATAATATTTATCTCATACATTCACTTTCTTAAAGTTATACAAGATTCATTTGAAAAACTCATTTCATGTTCATGAAAATGAATATTACTCTGAGTCTGTGAGATTTATCTTTTTATCAGTTATTTATAATGATTTTGCTTTTTTATATAGAAATATAATAGATTTTAGAACTTGTTAAAATTTCATTATCTGTCTGTCTGTGAGTTCACATTCAATTCAATAATATAATTATATCTGACTTAGTCAGCTAATTGCAGCATTATTTTTTCAGTCATTATTAAAGCTTAATGACTCTGACAGATCTTCTAACTTAATATATTTCATACTCAGATTCTTATTCTGCACAGTGATCTCAGATAATATGTATACTTCTGAAGAGATTGTAAATAGACTGACCGTGTGACCGTGTCTGAGACCAGGACCAGATTTTTTGATAGTCTCATTATCAATTCGACTGATCCCATTACACGGTTTTAACATTAGATAGTAGTTCCATACTGTCTCAGTGAGACTTACTGTCTACTCTTGTCACATTTTCCAAATGAGACCATGATTTCCACTTCTCAATTTAAATTATTTTTATTGCTTTAAATGACTTTAAATCTCATTTGAGTGTTACCAAAAAGTGTTACTTTTTAAAAAATTAAAAATAGTCTAAAAAAAACCTTAAAATGTCTAAAAATAGTAACTTTATGTCAAGAATGGGACTAAATGGGACCAAATGAGACCACTTTCTCATTTTTTTCAAGTCATGGTTTCATTTTAAGATCTGATATATAGTCACTTTTCCTGTTTTTTTGATAGCCAGTCCCAGCGGGATTCACGCCAAGAAATGTATGAGACCAGACCAAATGAGATCAAACGTGAAATTCATGATTCCGGCGGCCAGTCTAATTGTAAATGATTATGATAAGATCTTCAGATTCAGTGCAGTTATGTATCTGTATAAACATTCAATCTCTCACTGTAGATCTAAGATCTGGTTTTCTTTATTTTTATTAATAATAATGATTGCATCAGCGAAGCTCTTTATAGTGAATACTTAATTCACAGTAAATATCAATTATTGTTTGACTTTCATCTCAGTCTGCTACTGTATACACAAGACCTTGATTTCATTTAGAATTCTTATATATATACAGAGCTTTAATTTCAGTTCAGTGATCTCAGCTGTCTTTCTTACTACTTTAAGTAAACTCTCTAAGAGATTCTGCATATCTTTAAGTTCAGATAGTAGAGAAGAATATTATTTATATAAACTAGAAGAGATATTCATTTCAGTGATTTCTCATTAATTGTATAATGTCTATTGTTATATTACTATATTATTATATCACTATATTATTATATGATTTCTGTTATCATTGTATGACTTCAGTGATAATTACTCTCTCTTTTATTCTTCTGAGTAGAGAGCAGTCTTCTTTGAATCTGATTCACTGCTTATATTCTCTTTCTCACATCTCATCTGTTCACATATAATATATAGCATTTATCTGAGTGTGAAGTTTCTCCTCTAACAAGTAAAGTAGTATTAATTAAATGCTCTTTCACTCATTACTCTTTATATGCTATCTTTTAAGATGTTCTAGAACTACACTAATATGATAACTACAAATTACTTTGTAAATGAAATTATCATGCTCTGAAGAAGTCTGCACTTCTCACTGATTTTTAAACATGCTATCAGATATGATTCAAAGATTGCTTGAGTCAGTATATAATTACAGACATATACTGGCTTCTTATATACTGTATACTAAATTAATTGATAGCCGCTATGACCTCTTTACATTTGTAAGCAAGTTTGAAAGCAGCTGTGTTATTATCTGACAGTTGTACGTTCTTCTGAACTATAAAATCAGATAAAACTATATACTTATAAAACTGAATTTAATTACTATTTTTAAGATAATCTGATAAATTTATATATTAAATTAATTCTAGAGTTATAAAAAATTATTAAGAGTATATATTTAATTATTATACTAATAATATATAATATTCTAATAATTTCATTAATAGAGATAAGAATAAAGTAAAAGTTTAACTCAAGCTAAGATATTTATCACTATTATTAGAGATAATTATAAGAAGAAATAATTAAGAAACTCATGATTATAAAATATGAAATTATTAGATAGTTCAATATCTCTGATCACAGTATATTAGAGAAGTATAGTTTTTATCAGAAAGTAAAAAATAAACTTATATAAGAATATATTTAGTTATTTTATAAGTGTTATTAATAATTATTATTAATTTCTGATTATATAAGTAATTACTAAATAAACTGAATAAGACTGAATTTAATCTTCAGTTTCAGTCTTATTCTGATTTTAAAAGAATAATTATCTTTTATAGTTTATTCTGAGAAATTACTCTCATTTCACTATTCTTGAATTAAATCTGGTTATTTTTCACATCATTGCTCTTAGAAATGATTCATTTTCAGATTTTTTTAAGACTTAATTCTAGTGAGACTCATGCTAAGAAATATATAGAATAAGATTAAATGAGATTAAATATGAAATTTATAATCTCATCAGTCAGTCTATCTAAGGCTAAATTTTTTATTTGAAAAGTGAATCTAAGATCTTCAATATTTAAAATAAAGTGATTTGAGATTAATAAGATTATATATATACAGTGATCAGAACTACACTGTAATACTTTTAAATAATATAATTACTATACATAGACTGACTGTATAACTGTATCTGAAATCAGAACTAGAATTTTTAATAGTTTTATTATCAATTTAACTAATCTTATTACATAGTTTTAATATTAAATAGTAGTCTTATACTGTCTTAATAAGACTTACTATCTACTCTTATCACATTTTTCAAATGAGATTATAATTTTCACTTCTCAATTTAAATTATTTTTATTACTTTAAATGACTTTAAATCTTATTTAAGTATTATTAAAAAGTGTTACTTTTTAAAAAATTAACAATAGTCTAAAAAAACCTTAAAATGTCTAAAAATAGTAACTTTATATCAAGAATGAGACTAAATGAGATTAAATGAGATCACTTTCTCATTTTTTTCAAGTCATGATTTCATTTTGAGATCTGATATATAGTCACTTTGCATATTTTCTTAATGATTAGTCCCAGCGGGATTCACACCAAGAAATGTATGGGACCAGACCAAATGGGACTAAATGTGAAATTCATGGTCCCGGCGGCCAGTCTAACTATACGTTTGATCCTGGTCTCAGACACGGTCACACGGCCATTCTAGAAAAGAGAATTATTCTTCTTGGCTTCAGAGTCTATTTTGAAACAGTAGGCATTTTGTATGTATGGCCGTGTATACACTGCTTATAAAAAAATAACGCCTCTTGGCTGGGTGTAAATATGGCTCTCCGGGTGTATACAGATCCTTGGATGGATGCACGGGGGCTAGCTACTTTAGGTTGCTATTCCTTTTTTCTTAGGTTCTTTTTGATACGGGGCCTTTCGTTCCACGTAGCGAGGGGTGATCGTCGGGTTGGCTTGGTTTTCTGGGCGATTTTTCTTGGGGGGTGTGGTTTGGGTAGGGGGATTTTGAGAACGCTCAGACAAAGATAGGAGGTAGTTTAGTTAGTAGGGGTTGCTGGGTGGTATTTTGACCCTGGTGTTTGCGGGGGCTTTCTTGGAGAGAATCTGGCATCAAATGTACTACGTATGTAGAGGTATATAATTCGCAGCAACTGCATATGTAGAAATGTCAGCTCTATCTATATAAAGAAAGGCGTAACTTGGAGGTAGACCAAAGACAATAATACCTGTTGCACGAAAACAGATCATCTGCACATGCCATGTCCTCCGCCGTGCCATCGCCATTCATTCATATTCTTCCATTACCGCTGCCATCTATGATGCTACATACATATGTACGCTCGCCCTTCCATTATGGCAAGCAAGCATTGCATGGAGTATGAGTTCCCTGCCGACAATCTTTCGATGTGCCCCCGCCGAGCCTGCCGCCAACTGCCGCTCTACAGCACATGGGGTTGGGTCTGGCCAATCAGCAGGCAGCTCCAGCAGTATTGGTGCATCTGATTGGCCGGAGCTGGGGTTCATGAAACAGGGACCTTGAAATTTTTGACCAATCGGGGCTACTTGATGGGGCCAATGTATCCATGGATCCTATCAGGGCTAATAGCTCGTCTTGGCATGGCTTGGCGTGTCACTCCGCAGCTCCACTCTCCTCTCCTCTCCTCTCCTCTTTCCTCGTTCCTCTCCACTTCTGTTCCTGTTCTGCAACTCCTCTCCAACTCCTCAATAATTCTTCTCTTCCTGTCTCTCGTTTTGGCACTTTTCGGTTTTTTGTCTTTCTTTCTGTCTTTGTCCTGTTCCATTCTCGTTCTACTTAGCACTCGTTTTCTTTAATTAATATTTTATTTCTTGGTTTCCGGCCTCTTCCCTCTTGACTTAACCCCTCTCCGATAAATCATTATATCGCCTTAATTCCTAATATATTCATTACTGTTCCCGCCTCTGATGCCCCCCCCCCGCCAATTCGTCATCGCTTCAAGGTCCCCTCTCCCCGGATCTACAGGCTAGTTAGTCCAATTATCCACTTCTATTCGGACTTGCGTTTCATGATATAAAACCAAACCCCCTCCTCTCTCTGCTACGAGGGCATTTGATTCAACTTGTCTCCCCTCAACTCGACTCGACTCGACTTGTCTTGACTCGACTCGAATCGACACTGGGATTTGCCATTTGCATTTGAGCAAATGCAAACCTTGGCCAGCCCTCCGCTCCAGATCCTTTTTTAAGGATCATGCTTTTTCCGTGCTCGCCATGGCTTCTGTCGCTGCCACTATTGCTGCTGGCGTGGACAGATGTCGTCTCTGCCTTCTTCCCGTACAACCCAGTTCCCAATGGCAATGCTAAGAGCAATGGGTTGTTGTTTCTCGCCGATCTACCCAAGCTAGACCTAAAAGGCCTGAGAGAGCGGTTCTACTCGTACAGTCCAAGTAGGAGCAAGAGCGAGGGGTCTCTTCTTCCTCTTCCGCTAAGAGATGTCAAAGAACCTGTCAAGCTGGATATTATCAAGGTTCGCGGAAATGTTAGTATTCTTCTTCACCATTTTAGCTTCATTTGATTTTTATTTTCTTTTTCTGTCTAGAGAGATATTGGTATTAACTATGAATCGGTGCTGGTAACAATTAGGTTCGTCGCCAAAATATTTTCAAGGTTTACCATGCGGATCCCACCCTTATGCCGAATAGTCTAGCTATCAGTAGTGACGGATATGACTATTCCTATTTCTCGATAATGTACTTCGGTTCCGAACGACAGCCCATGTGGATGCTGATGGACACTGGGGCAGCTAACACCTGGCTGATCAGCTCCAATTGCACCCTTGAACCCTGTAAGATTCATAACACCTTTGGTACCGAGGACTCCAAGTCCCTTTCGATCTCAGATATCCCCTTCGACGTTACATATGGGACGGGGAAAGTATCAGGGTTTCTAGTCAATGATTCTATCGCCTTTGCTGGATTCGATCTACCAAATGTGAGCTTTGGGTCCGTGTTGGATATGTCCAGGGAATTCATGAATTATCCCATGGACGGGATTCTAGGCCTAGGCCGGGGACCTGCTTATAAAGTCAAGGCGCCGACGGTAATGGAGGAACTAAAGATGGGTGGATTGCTGAAGAAAAACATCATCGGTATCAATCTTCAACGGCACGGCGATGGGGCACGGGATGGCCAGATTGTTTTCGGCGACGTCGACAAGTCTAAATTTGTCGGCGATATCTCATACACCAAAACTGTGCCCAACGTAGGGCACTGGGAAGTTCCGGTGGATGATATCTTTGTCGACGGCAAGCCGTTGAACTTCCAAGGCAAGAACGGCATCTTCGACACAGGCACCTCCTACATCCTTATCCCCTACGAAGACGCGAAACGCCTCCACGATGCAATCGGCACCGCCGTGAAAAACCCCGAGTGGGACACATATTGGGACCTCCCTTGCTCGACAAAGACGAAGATCGAGCTGGTCGTATCCGGCGTGAAGTATCCTATGTCCCCCAAAGATTACGTTGGCGAAACACTCGAAAACGGCATGTGCCGCTCGAGGATCGTAGGCCACCAACCATTCGGGGATAATGAGTGGTTGTTGGGCTCCACGTTTCTTAAGAATGTGTATACTGTTTTTGACTTTGACGAGAATCGGATTGGGTTTGCGATGCGGGCGGATAACGAAGGTTCTTCCGATCCTTCCTCCCCTAACCAAAGTACGTGTTTCTACTTCGCCCCGCTATCTAGTACACATGTTTCTTATATAATAACAAATGTTGTTTTTTACCTACAGAGCCACCCACAGCTTCAGGATCCCCGCGCGTCTCCCCCGTCGGACCTCCCAGCGAGGTTAACAGCGGAGGACCGAAACCCGCCGAATCCTCTCAGAAAAACCCTGATTCATCAGATGGAGTGAAAGGCTTAAGTATTTCGTCCACTGCTCCATTGCTATGGACTCTTGTTTTGTTGTCGTCAACTTTGTCTCCTTGGTGAAATACCGTCTTTTTTTTATTTTTTATTTTTTATTTTATTTTTTATTTTTTATTTTTTTATTTTTTATTTTTTATTAATTTCCGATAATAAAAGCATCACTCTGCCTCCTTGTTTCTATCATCTTTTCTTTTGTATTGTTTTCTTTCTTGCTCCCGATGGGAATACCGTGATGAGAAGGGGGAAGCAGAAGGAAGAGGGGAAGGAGTGAAACCAGCCACTCCCTCTCCCACAACTCGTTTTCGAACCGAGATATACTATACTAGTTGGGGTAATCCGCAATTAGCCCCTGCTTTCTGTTACATACCTCACCCCGTCTTCCACCGTTCAGCGCGCACTACGGAGCTATTAAATTCGTCTGCATTTTTTTAATTTCTGGTGTCTAGAGGCAAATTATCTATCGCCCCGTTTGTAGTCCATGTTTTATTTCAGATATGGAGACTTGGATGGCAATAGACCTACACGCACTCTCTATCATGCATATGCACACTCTGTGTCACTATATCTTCTCGAACCAGCTCATTATCAGTTCACATGTTTCAAATTTTTTCCTGTACATAGATTTACATAGATTTACATACATGGACATATTATATTATTTGCGGAGCGAAGCGAAGCAAATATATGATGAAAACCCTGGTCATTAAAAGTGGAGAATTTCCTTTTTGGGGTTCTTGGCGCGAATACAGCCCACTGATTGGTGTAGAATTAAGCGAAGTGCAATCCTGTGACATTGCACTATCATATCATCTACTCTGTACAGATTCTTGAATAGATAATGCATCTGATCAATCATCTCTCATAGATTCTCAAGAATGAATAATGTGTTAAAAGCCTGTGTTCACTGCTTATAAAATCAGTCTCTTGATTAATTCATTTCTTTACAGTATTCTACTACTTCTACAGCTGTCTGTCTTTAATACTACACTCAGAGAACTCAGATATTATAATCTTCTCTCATTATATCTTTTCTATCACTGTGTAAGAATAAGTGCTCACAGGCAATTATTCAGGTGTTTGTAGCTTGATGTGATATATACTGTTAACTACTAGAAGTATTTGTGGTTCGGAAGAACGTACGACCGTCAGATAATACCGCGGCTGCTTCCGAACTACTAGTGTACGCGTATGAGTGTAAAGGGGCCATAGCGGCCGCTAATTAAATTAGTGTACAATATTACAATATATAAGAAGCCAGCATACGCCTGTAATCATATACTGGCTTAAGCAACCTTTGAATCACATCTGATAGCATGTCTAAAAACCAGTGAGAAGCACAGGCTCCTTCAGAGCATGATAATTCTGTCTACAAAGTGATTCATAGTTATCATGCCAGTGTGGTTCTAGAACATCTCAAAAGATAGCATACAAAGAGCAGTGAGTGAAAGAGCATCTAATTGATACTGCTGCTTCACTTGTTGAGAGAAAACTTCACACTCAGATGAATACCATGTATGTGAACAGATAAGATGTGAGAAAAGAGATAAAAATAGTGAACCAGATTCAAAGAAGATCACTCTTCACTCAAAGAGATAAAAGAGAGAGATGATCACTATCAGAGTCATACAATGATAACAGAAATCATATAATAATATAGTGATATAACAATATAGTAATAGAATAATATATTGCCCCGGTGGCCGAATGGTTAATGCGGCCACCTGGTAGCGCCTTGGTGTGGGAAACCAAGGCGCGTGGGTTCGAAACCCGCAGGGGATACATTAAATCCAGAACTCAAGCACCTCAGGTTTCTAATAAATACAGAGGTGTACAAATCACTTCAATAAATCACTCTATGTTCCTGGGCTGAGAAGTTATCATTGCATGTATCTAATTGTCACTTCTTTGTATTTTCCTATGTTCTTGTTATCTTGGTGTGGTCTCAACACCTGTATTTCCTCCTGTATAATCAACACTTGACCTGTATTTAACATCACACAAGGACTCATCATAAGCTCCGCTTGCATATGAGTATAATGAAAGAATAATAATAATAATAATAATAATAATAATAATAAGAATAATATATTAATATAACAACACAGTAATATAATAATAGACATTGTATAATTAATAAGAAATTACTGAAATGAATATCTTCTCTAGTTAATATAAATAACACTCTTCTCTGTTATCTGAACTGAAAGATATACAGAACCTCTCAGAGAATTTACTTAAAGCAGTAAGAAAAACAGCTGAAATCACTGAACTGAAATTGAAGCTCTGTACATGTACAAGAATTCTAAATGAAATCAAGACCTTGTATACACAGTGACAGACTGAGATGAAAGTTAAATAATAATTAACATTTACTGCAGATCAAGCATTCACTATAAAGAGCTTTACTGACATAATTATCATTATTAATAAGAATAGAGAAAATCAGATCTTAGACCTGCAGTAAGAGATTGAATATTTATACAGATAGATAATTACACTGAATCTAAAGATTTCATTACAATTGTTCATAATCTCTTCAGAAGTGTATACATCATTGAAGACTGCTGTGCAGAATGAGAATTCAAGTATGAGATATATCAAGTTAAGAGATCTACTGAAGTTATTAAGCTTTAATAATGACTGAAAAAATGATGCTGCAATTAGCTGACTAAGTCAGATGTAATTATATTATTGAATTGAATATAAACTCATAGATAGATAGTTAACAGAATTTTAATAAATCTTAGAATCTGCTGCATTTCTATACAGAAAAGTGAAGTCATTATAAATAATTAATGAAAAGATGAATCTCATAGATTTGAAATAATATTCATTCTTATAAATATAAAATGAGTTTTTTAAATGAATCTTGCACAACTTTGAGAAAGTGAATATATAAGATAAGTATTATAAACACTTCACTGAGTGTAGACAAGTGAATAATCTTATATTATACTTCATACACTTCAGCTTACACTATCTTGTGTTGAATGAAGAGCTTTTAATATTATTCTGTTTACAGATCTTTATTCATAATCTTACATCTGAGTTGAGAGTGAAATGAAAATACTTAATCTCATAGTCAGACACAGTGAAGAAAGTATACAATATTCTCATTGTATGAGAATAAGTGAGTTAATTGTAATAGAAAATACTGCAATCAAGTATATCTTAGTAAAGAACAGATAATCAGACTTCTATAATATAAGTCACACATCTGAACATGATGAATCTAGATCTGAATACTATTACTAAAGCACTGAATTCTCTGAAAAAGAGATTCTCTGAGTGAAAACCTTGATATTATAAGTATTGAGCTTGTTTCAACTGCAGACATCAAAATCATGATGTAAAAGATTGCACTCAGCATGTGCAGTTAAAAAACTAGCAGAATCAGTGAGCTCAGAGACACTCACTGATATTCTATGAAAAGTCTTCAAAGTGAAAGAGATGCTCATGTTAGATGACTCTCTAAATTCTGTAAATATAAAGAAGAAGCAGGCTTCTGAATGAGATGTAGATAAGAATAATGAAGTGAACACTTATCTCAATACCTTGAGACCTGAAATGTTAATATATAGAGAGCACTTGAATAAGAATTAAGAGATAGCTGCAAAAGTGTTAGTAAACACAGAAGCTTCTACACAATATATTGATGATTATATAATTTGAAGATTGAAAGAGATTCACTGAGTGAAGAATCTCTGATGTATAAGATTATCTGATAACTGATATTTGATATTATCTGCAAGAGTAAGAGTTCTCTTGCACTTCAGAGAATGATCTTGCTATATTTGAGCATGAGAGCTGCAGAATGTGAAATACAACCTTATTCTCAGACTTAATTAGTTTCAAAGATTCAATCTGCAGATTCAATAACATACATGCTATATACAGTTGACTGATAGAAAGAAAATGATTCATACAATTCTATCAACTGATATGAGAAGGATATTTCACACCTCTGATATAGAAGAATTAAATCTGCTTATACATTAACAAGCAAAGAGAACAATTTACAAGACCTCATCTGAAAGCATTCTGTATATCATATGAAATCTGAAAGTGAAGAAAACCAAGATAAAGAATATATAAAAGAACAAGTGTATGAAGAAGCTTCTGAAAAAGTATGAAAAGATCTTTTAAACAGATCTTTCACTGAAATTGTCACCAGAATGAGGATTTATACATGAGATTGATATGAAGAATGCAAAACCAGTCAATCAGAATGTGTACTCTCTGTCACAAACATATCTTGAAGAATAGAAGTGTCAGATCACTGACCTTCTAGAACATGATCTCATACAATCCTCATCAAGTGTGTGAGACTTTTCAGTTCTATTTATGAAAAAGATGAGTGAGAAGTGACAGATGTGTATCAATTACTGAGCACTTAACAAGCTTATAATCAAGAATGAATATTCACTGTCACAGATTCAACAATAGTTAAATACAGTTGAAAACATCTGATATCTATTGAAGATTGATCTTCTCTCAGAATACTGACAGATCTGTGTAGATAAACTGTCAGTTCTGTGAACCACATTTAATATATAATAAAGAAAGTTCAAATTCCTAGTAATATCATTCAGTCTGATAAATACACTCATTATCTTCTAAATAATGATGAATACAATTCTTCATAAACAGAATGAAATCTCATATCTTATATATCTCAATGACATTCTAGTCTTTTCAAACTCATACAACAAACATCTGAAGCATTTTAATGAAGTGCTTATAACTCTGACAGAGCATAAGCTTCATATCAAATCAATCAAGTGTGTGTTTGAAATGAAAGAGTTAGAGTTTGTAAGACATGTAGTAAGTGATAACTGTATACACTTCATTCTGAAGAAATTAAATGTCATAGTAAATTAACTGCAGCTGAGAAATGTACATTATGTATAACAGTTTCTTGAGTTGATCTCATACTATCACAGATTCATCAAGGATTTTGCATAAATATCTGCATCACTCTCAGATCTCTTAAGAGAAACAGATACAAATCTGTAAAAGAAGAAGTTTTATTCAATCATCTGAAATATCATATGCAAAGAGGCTTTTCTCACACTGAGAGAATATGTAATAACATTCTCAGTGCTTATTCAATCAGATCATGATAAATCTTTCTACATTGAGATAGATACATCTGAATGAGCTATTGAAGATACTCTTCTACAGATGAGTAAGAACAGCAAGCTGTATCTGATAATGTATAATAATAGAAAACTATCAGGCGCTGAGCTTAATTACTCAGTGTATGAAAAGAAATTGCTAGTGATCAAGCACACACTGACATTGTAAGATAGATATATTGACAACAGATATATAATAATAATGATCATGAATTATGAAAGTCTCATCTATCTATAATTAACAACAAAACCTTTTAAACACTTAGCACATTGAATCTCAGAGTTTCAAGCATACAATCTTCATATTAAATACTGAAAGAAATCAAACACAGTGATGCCTGATACAATCAGTTACAGACCTGATTTCATGAGTGAGAGTTCTGTAAACCAGGTACAAGAGATGTTCATATTAAACACACTGAGAAGATGCAAGAAATCAGAATGAGTGAACATCATGATCTCTCACTTGAAGAATGACAAGATATCAGATGATAAGCATCTTATAAAAGTAGTAGAAGAGATG